TCTGTTTCTCTGCTGAAGATATAATTTTCTCCCATTTAGTTCAAGAGTGTTTATCTTTACCTCATGGATTATGGTGGTAATAGTGGCTTAAATGTCTTAGTTCAATAATTTTGGAGATGGTGTCTGTAATGGTTATATAATGTTATTAGCAAAAAATTAACAGCTTAACAACCACATGTTATGTCACTTATTTTCTGTTGGTCTCTACTCTAGACACAACTTAGCAGAGTCCTCTATTAAGAATTTTTCAAGAGGCTGCAGTCATTATGCCAGCAAAATCTGTGGTATCATCTGAAAGATTGCCTGGAGAAGATACATTTCTAATCCCACATGTTTGTTGTGATGGCTCAGTTACTTGCAGATTGTTGGACTGAGGGTTGCCTGTTGTTCCTTGCTGGCTATTGACTAGAGGTCACTTTCAATTCCTTCCCAAATGGGTCCTTTCATTGGGAGTTCACAATGTAACTGCATAATCAACACCTTCAAGGAATGACGTATGCAAAAAAAAAAAAAAAGTGGACATTATGATCTACATCGTCTGGTTTAAAACTAAGCATTTAAAAAACTAAGATCATGGCATCCAACCCATCACTTTATGGCCAGTAGATGGGAAAAAATTGGAAACAGTCACAGATTTTATTTTCTTGTTCTCCAAAATCACTGCAGACAGTGACTGCAGTCATGAAAAATTCTTGCTCCTTGGAAGAATAGTTGACAAATGCAGACCGTGTATTAAAAACAGAGACATCACTTTGCCAACAAATGTCCTTAGTCAAAGCTATGGTTTTTCCAATAGTCATGTACGAATGTGTGAGTTTTACCATAAAGAAGGCTGAGTGCCCAGAATTAATGCTTTTGAACTGTGGTATTAGAGAAGACTCATGCTGAAGCTGAAGCTCCAATACTTTGGCACCTGATACGAAGAGCTGACTTATCGGAAAAAATCCTGATGCTGGGAAAGACTGAGGGCAGGAAGAGAAGAGGGTAACAGAGGATGAGATGGTTGGATGGCATCACCAACTCAATGGAAATGAGTTTGAGCAATCTCTGGGAGACAGTGAAAGACAAGGAAGCCTGGCTGGCTTCAGTCCATAGGGTCACAAAGAATCAGACATGACTTAGCCACTGAACAACAACAACCATGATCTACATGACCTAAGCATGGAAGAACTTCTATTCTTTTTTCAGTGCTCTATTGGTTAGAAGCACATCATGAGTTTGTTATATTTAAGGGGAAAGGAAAATGCAAGGATGTGAATACCAGTAGGTGACAAAAATTGGGGACTGTTTTAATCTATACACCACAGCATCTCTCAGTGGTCGTTTCCCTTGAGAACAAATCACAGTGGTCAGTACTTTGTATGTTAATATGATTTTGTATAGTATCCTGGACATTTGAATACTATGTTGACATTCTCTGAATTTTGTTATAAATCTTGAGAGATTGTTATTTATTTATATTGTGGTTGTTTTCTTTTAGCAATAGATTAGTCCCAAAAGATTCATACAATTTCTGTCCCAAATTCATGATTGGACTTGTTATATGTATTAAAGACAAAGAAGAAACATGAAACCTCACGGTAGGATTTTATACTTTCAGCTAAGATGCCTTCAAACTGTGGTGTTGGAGAAGACTCTTGAGAGTCCCTTGGACAACAAGGAGATCAAGCCAGTCAATCTTAAGGGAAATCAACCCTGAATACTCACTGGAAGGACTGATGCTGAAGCTGAAACGCCAGTATTTTGGCTATCTGATGCAAACAACTGACTCGTTGGAAAAGTCCCTGTCTCTGGGAAAGATTGAGGGCAGAAGAAGAGGGCTCAATGGATGAAATGGCTGGGTGGCAATACTGATGCAATGGACATGAACCTGGGCAAATATTGGGAGATGGTGAGGGACAGAGAGGCCTGGTGTGCTGCAGTCCGTAGGGTTACAGAGAGTTGGACAAGACTGAATGACTGAACAACAACAAGGTTGCAATATTTTCTATATGTGATGAACTCATGAAAATTAGTGTCAATAACCTTGCTGAAATATTGGCATGAACCCGTATCTGTGGCAGATTCTAAATAGTTTGAATAGGGCAATTAGGCAACCTGAACCATGTTACCTTCCTTTCCATTCCTAAGTACAATTTTCCTTTCCTCATCTAAATGGTTAATAAAATCATTGAGCAGCTAAGTGATGACTGGGACTCCATTTGGGTTCCACTGGAGAGAATTAGTATAGGATTTCCTACATTGTGGGTTGGCAAGCACCTGAAATACATCATCCTATATATTCTGTGCTGTGCTGTGCTTAGTCACTCAGTCCTGTTCGACTCTTTGTGACCCCATGGACTGTAGCCCACCTGGTTCCGCTGTCCATGGGGATTTTCCAGGCCAAAATACTGGAGTGGGTTGTCATGCTCTCTTCCAGGGGATCTTCCCAACCTAGGGATAGAAACCAGGTCTCCCACATTGCAGGTGGATTCTTTCTGTCTGAGCTACCAGGAAAGCCCAAAAATACTGGAGTGGGTAGCCTATCTCTTCTCCATGGGATCTTCCTGACCAGGAATTGAACCAGGGTCTCCTGCATTGCATGTGGATTCTTTACCAGTTGAGCTACCAGGAAAGCCCCCTAAATATCCTACCTAAGCCCTATAAATGAAAATTCTTGAGTACGCTCTGCTCTCTGGTCACATAGAGGAATGTCAGCTTCAGTCCAACATGCCAGATTTCTCTTGAGACTAGAGGCATCCTGAAGTACCAACTGAAAGACTATATCCATCTATAGAGCGAAAAAATATGAAGAGCTAAATTCATCATAAGAAAAAATAATTTCCTTCTCTTACCATACAAGAAACTGAGATCTACAAAATTCACATTTTTTTCAAGTTAATTTTAATTGGAGGATAATTGTTTTACAATGTTATGTTGGTTTCTGCTGTACAACAATGTGAATCAGCCATAAGTACACATATATCCCCATTATCTTGAGCTTTCCTTACACCCCCACTCCCCATCTCACTCTTCTAGGTCATCACAGACTTTTCATATATATATATATACTTATTTATATATTTATATGTTTAATATATATTAATGTATATTTAATTTATATATTAAATATAATATAAATATATAAATACATAATATATAAATATATTATATATTTAATTTATATTTTAATATTTAAATATATTTAAAATTAATTAATTTACATTGGGATACATGTGTCTCTTTCAATTCTGGTTTCCTCAGTGTGTATGCCCAGCAGTGGGATTGCTGGGTCATATGGCAGTTCTATTTCCAGTTTTTTAAGGAGTCTCCACACTGTTCTCCCTATTGGCTGTACTAGTTTGCATTCCCACCAACAGTGCAAGAGGGTTCCTTTTTCTCCACACTCTCTCCTGCATTTATTGTTTGTAGACTTTTTGATAGCAGCCATTCTGACTGGTGTGAGATGGTACCTCATTGAGGTTTTGATTTGCATTTCTCTGATAATGAGTAATGTTGAGCAAATTTTTGTGTGTTTGTTAGCCATCTGTATGTCTTCTTTGGAGAAATGTCTGTTTAGTTCTTTGGCACATTTTTTGATTGGGTCATATATTTTTCTGGTATTGAGCTGCATGACTTGCTTGTATATTTTTCAGATTAATTCCTTGTCAGTTGCTTTGTTTGCTATTATTTTCTCCCATTCTGAAGGCTGTCTTTTCACCTTGCTTATAGTTTCTTTCATTGTGCAAAAGCTTTTAAGTTTAATTAGATCCCATTTGTTTATTTTTGCTTTTATTTCCATTACTCTGGAAGGTGGGTCCTAGAGGATCTTGCTGTGATTTATACCAGAGAGTGATTTGCCTGTGTTTTCCTCTAGGAGTTTTATAGTTTCTGGTCTTACATTTAGATCTTTAATCCATTTTGAGTTTATTTTTGTGTATAGTGTTAGAAAGTGTTCTAGTTTCATTCTTTTACAGGTAGTTGATCAGTTTTCCCAGCACCACTTGTTAAAGAGATTGTTTTCTGCATTGTATATTCTTGCCTCCTTTGTCAAAGATAAGGTGTCCATAGATGTGTTGATTTACCTCTGGGCTTTCTGTTTTGTTCCATTGATCTATCTTTCTGTCTTTGTGCCAATACCATACTTTCTTGATGACTGTGGCTTTGTAGTATAGTCTGAAGTCAGGCAGGTTGATTTCTCCAGTTCCATTCTTCTTTCTCAAGATTGCCTTAGCAATTCGAGGTCTTTGTATTTCCATATAAATTGTGAACTTATTTGTTCTACTTCTGTGAAAAATACCATTGGTAGCGTGATAGGGATTGCATTGAATCTACAGATTCCTTTGGGTAGTATGCTCATTTTCAGTGTATTGATTCTTCCAATCCATGAAAATAGTATATTTCTCCATCTATTTCTGTCATCTTTGATTACTTTCATCAATGTTTTACAGTTTTCTATATATAGGTCTTTTGTTTCTTTAGGTGGATTTATTCCTAGGTATTTTATTCTTTTTGCCACAATGGTGAGTGGGATTGTTTACTTAATTTCTCTTTCTGTTTTCTCATCATTAGCATCACAGACTTTTCTGAAGTTACAAATCTAGAAATCAGTACAGCAAAAATAAAGGAAAGTATTTCCCAAAGAAAAGTAATTGTTACCCTGATAACAACCAAAAAATAAAAGACAGATTGTGCATAATAAATAGACAAAAATGAAACAAGTTTTCTTCTCCCCATTTATTAGTTCAAAATTTTTAGGAAAATAGAAACAAATTTATGATAAAATTATGAAAATGAATATATACCAAAATCATCTCAATGTGAAGAAGAACATCAGCTCATAAGGTGAATTTCATATTCTTCCAGATATCAAGTGGCATCAGATACATATATCAGGCCTTTAGCAAATCATATCAGAAGTCTGTAGTGTTGTGTATAATGAGCATCTTCTGAGGGTGAGGCAGAGAACTTTTGGGGTCCAGAACTGGTGAATTGAAGGGTGGGAGTCTTCTACCACATCCTCAATAGTAGTAGCCAAAGCCAGAGCCATAACCGGAGCCGCATCCATAGCCACTTCCACAGAGAGAGCGGGCGCCATAGCCGTAGCCACAGCCCAGCCTGCGGAAGCCAGAGCCATAGCAGGAGCCATAGCCACAGCCCAGGCCTCCGTAGCCGTAGCTTCCACAGCCCAGGCCGCCATAGTAGTTTCCGTAGTAGCCACACATGGTGTTGGTTGTTGAGGTTGTTCTCGGGTGGAGAAGGAGAGTAGAAGTGTCACTTGAGTGTGGAGAGTTCTCCCTGCAGAGGACGTTTTATACGCCCTCAGTGTGGGTGTGATCCACCACAAACACTCATGCTATTGGCTAATTTTTCAGGACCAATGTGAGTAATCTGTTGACTATAGGTTTTAGGGATGACTTCACAAGCATTGAGGAGATATGTTTTGTTTCACCACATCTGAGCCAGTTAGTGGGTCATTAACAGAATCAATTGTCTCATCCTCAAATCCTTACCCATGACATATTTAAATTGCCCTTTGTAACTAATCTTTATGGCAGTAAATACCATTTTTATTGACAAACTCTGACCTGCTCCAGAAAAACAATAATTTTGCCTTACTTTATATTGACATTCAACAGATCATAGTATTGAACCTTAACCTTGAACTTCTCCTTCTATTAATATTACTTCCTCCCCCAATCCATTGTTTTCCTTTAAGGATTTATCTCATTTTCATGTGAGAGATTGCTTACTGCTAAAAGCCAAATGTTATCACTGAGCTACATGAGACTGTTGACTGACAGCAAATAGTTTGAAATTATGGAACACTAGGCCTGAAAAAGACTGGACTTTTCTTTATCTTTTACATTAGTATTTTGTACATTTTTAAAATTCTGTGTTTAAATTATAAAATATTTTTTCCATGGTTTCAAGTTTATACCCTGAATTTACACTCAAAAATAAAAGGAAATTATGAGTGCTCCTTTGCCTTTTCTGGGGAAAATATCTAGACCAGAAAAGAATATTTTATATCTATATAAAAAGAGGAAAAAAGTTTAGTTATAAGAGCTGTCACTTGAGTAAGTTACTTTATATCCTTCCTTTTTGAATGTTGTAAAATGGAGAGTTTTACCACATCTTGCAGTGGTTCTGAGAATAATGTGAGATAATTCACATAAGGTATTTTGCACAGTGATTGCTCTATAGTAAATAGCTAACAACTTTAGTTAATATTACTTTATTAACACAATAATTAAAAGTTATTCAAAGTTTGGATGTAGAATTCTATGAATAACAGTAGATAAGATAAAGAGAATATTCTTAGATAAAATCAAAGACAGAGGAAAAAAAAGACAAAATAAACAGTGCATACAATAGTAAATGATAACACATACAAAGCATTTATTAAATTCCAAGCATTATCTAAGTGCTTTACATATTTTAACACACTTAGCTCTCACAAAAATCCTAGAATAGTTTGCAATTTTTATGTAAGAATGCCAAGCTCAAAGAAGTTGCAGCATTTGCACAATGTCATAGGCACAACCTAAATCTTAGTGCAACGTAATTATATGTACTTTCTAACTGATGAGACAGTCTGGGAATTGCTATCCCTTTTATTATAATAATGGATTATTTATAATAGAAATCCATGAATTTAAACCCATGTAAATGAACAATCGAGTAGAAAGAAAAACTGTTTTCAGTAGAATACCTGTTAATGTATTTGAAAAAAATACAATGAAAATCAGAAAAGTCAACATTTGCAATCCATCATAATAAATAATTAGGCAAGAAAGGAAAATAAATGATAAGATGTGGTAAACTGTGGCATATGAATGGAATATTTATACAGTCACAAAACATCTCTACCAAAATACTTCTTAATTGCAAAAAAAAATAATAAAAGTAACTTTTGAGCAGAAGAATCTAATATTTACAACTGACCAAGTTGCAAAGTTATCATAAGTAATGAAGCAAATCAATAAGTGCCTAAAAATAGATATAATAAAAAGCAAACCTATTCACTATTTTGACAGAATTCATAATCTTGTTCTAATCACTTGGAAACTTTAAAGCTAAACTGAAGCATGCTTTAAAAGAAAAAAGAAAAAAAATTCCTATAATCTACAAAAAATTTAAGATTATGGGAAATACTAAACAGCATGACAGCTGAATGCACTACACGACATTAATAGATTATTTTTCTGTAAAAGCTTTATTGGAGCAATCTATTCTTGAGTGAATGTTGTGAAAAGAAAGAGAAAAAAGATTTCGATAGAGGATAAAGTTGAGTTGACATAGCACTCAGTGGAAACCTCAGGAAACCATCTGTGGGACTGTGGATGGGGATGTCCGAACAGTTACTGGGATTGAACAAGGCATGTTATACCACCACTCTGATCAATCACTGGGGATTGGAAGTAGGCATGATCTCTTATGAGGGTTGCTAGTTAGCTGAGGGCATTCTACATTATACACACTCTATATATTTGATTGAACTATAAGCTTAATTTTTGACATGTATAATGATCTTAATTTTAGTCTTGGAGATATTGGTTTAAGAAATATATGATTATTATAATTGATACAATCATAGAAAAACTGATGGTGACATAGTCTCAGTTCAGTTCAGTTCATTCGCTCAGTCATGTCTGACTCTTCACGACCCCATGGACCACAAGACGCCAGATCCCCTGTCCATCACCACTCCCGGAGTTTACTCAAATTCATCTCCCTTGAGTCAGTGATGATCATCAGTGAATGACTGTCTCAGAATGTCAAAAAATGTATTCGTGTATTAACAACATGAAATCTTGAAAGCCTGTGGAAATGCTCTAGATTTTATGAAATGTTAGATTACAACAGACAATAAATTGCAAAGTATGATGATTTGTACAAATTGGATTCTGTATCAAAAATAAAGCTACAAAAATTAGAAAAATTAAACCTAGATTATGAATTATATGGGCTTCCCACGTGGTGCTAATGGTAAAGAATCCATCTGCCAATGAAGAAGATTGCAGAGACTCGGGTTTGATCCCTGGGTTGGGAAGATTAAGAATTAGATAATAGAATTGTATCAGAACTATATTTCTTTTTGTGATAATGGAATTTTGGTTATGTGGGGAGCCATATCTTACCATTGGAGAAGGAAATGGCAACCACTCCAGTTTTCTTGCCTGGCAAATCCCATGGACAGATGAGCCTGGCGGTTGCAGTCTGTGGGTTGCAAAGAGTCGGTCACAACTGCAAAGACTTAGCACATATCTTATCATATTCATTTAAGAATGAAGTGTCATGAAGTTTGCAGTATATTTTCATGTGTTTCAGGAATAATGTTTGGGTGTTTGAGTATATGAATGTGTGTGTGTGTGTGTGTGTGTGTGTGTGTGTGTAGGAAGAGAGACACAGAGAAAGAGAGAGATAGAGGAAGAAAGAGAAAGACAGACAGAGGAAACAAAACTTGCAAAATATTAAAAACTGCCAAATCAATCTAGGTGGACAGTTTTAGGTACTCATAATATTACTTCCTATAATTAATTGAGGAATTTAAAAATTTTTAAATTAAATTCTGGGAGAAATGAATTTATATCTAGAAAAATATTATTCTTGGAGTACTAAATTCTGCAGTGATTCATTTTTCAATGCCTAAATTTCCTGCCTGAAAGTGTGAACCTGAGCATAGAGGGTAAAAAATGTGGATAAGAATTTTAAATAACAGAATGCAAAAAGTGTGCAAACTTTGGGTAACAAAGAGGGGATAAGTAAAATACATTAATATGTGTCAGATAACAAGAGTATCAGATACCATTAAATGGCTCTAAACTGAAATACACAGTGGATGTTAGAAAAGGTGTCACTTAAAAAAAACCAAAAAACTATAGTTCAAGGCATTTAAAAGTTTGGTGAAGGCAGCGTAGGTTAAAATTTCTTTCCTTCTTGTGCTGGGGTAGCACAGAAAACACTTTTTGTTTAAATATACCTAAAACTGAAATTAGAATTTGATAACTATATATCAGATTGTATTTTCTAAAGGACTCCACGTAGATGAAGAATTTGGAATAATTTGTTTGGAATACACATTGTATCCAGGCAACGCTTACCTACATTGGCAGATGTAAATTTCTTTAATCCTCATGATGGGCCAGCAAGCACAGATCACTGCTTTACCAGAGCAGAACACTGAAGGCTTTAAGACCTCTACTTTCTTATGTTACAAGTGAAGAATTTGGTAGAGCAACTAAAGTAGAAATACTAAAAGAAGCTATTCTCTAAAGAAGATTCTTTTAATTCAAAAAAGGAAAAAAGAAAACCAAAAGGACATATTCTTTTGTTGTTGTTTAGTTGCTAAGTTGTGTCTGCCTCTTTTTGTGATTCTCCGAACTGTAGCCCACCAAGCTCCATGGGATTTCCAACGCAAGAATACTGGAGTGGGTTGCCATTTCTCTCACCAGGGGATCCTCCTGATCCAAGGATCAAACCTGTGTCTCCTGTATTGGCAGGTGAGTTTTTAACCACTGAGTCACCCAGGGAAGCCCCAAATGACAAATAATGCATTTAAAATGAAAAAAAAAAAGAAAGAAACAGGTTTATGATTCTATATTGAACAAGTTTATTAGGAAAATAGAGAAAAGCCTTCTGCATGAAGGTCAAAAGAGTTTCTGTGATGGCATCATTCTAATGAGAGATCATGACTAAAGTTCTTCAATGAATTTCACATTCTTCCACTCTTTAGACATTAAATTCAGAAAGGGAAGGGTTGGTGTATCAGATGCAGAGGGCACCAGAAGGCAAGGCTTTAGCAGGATGAAGAATGTATGGGGTTCATTCAGAATTGGTGAATGCTGATGTCCACGTGTAGAGGATGAGAGTCTTCCGTGGTGTCCTCAATAGTAGTAGCCAAAGCCAGAGCCAGAGCCATAGCCGCATCCATAGCCACAGCCAGAGAGAGAGCGGGCGCCATAGCCGTAGCCACTTCCACAGAGAGAGCGGGCGCCATAGCCGTAGCCACAGCCATAGCCACAGCCCAGCCTGCGGAAGCCAGAGCCATAGCAGGAGCCATAGCCACAGCCCAGGCCTCCGTAGCCGTAGCTTCCACAGCCCAGGCCGCCATAGTAGTTTCCGTAGTAGCCACACATGGTGTTGGTTGTTGAGGTTGTTCTCGGGTGGAGAAGGAGAGTAGAAGTGTCACTTGAGTGTGGAGAGTTCTCCCTGCAGAGGGCCTTTTATACGCCCTCAGTGTGGGTGTGACCCACCACGCCTTCATGCCACTAGCTAACTTTATGACTGATCTAATTAGTTTATTGTTTACAACCAAAGATGAAACCTCAGAGAAATTCAGCAGGATTGCTATGTTGCCATCCCAGTTTGGATTCCTCTTGTCCAATTAAGGACTTGAATGAGGAGACGCAGTCTCACACCTACACAGTCCCGTCCCAAATTATGTTTTATTTTAACCACCTGGCACCTTCAGTATAGTAAGAAAGATATTTGTTGATCTTAATCTTATTTGTTCTTGACCTCAGTTTGTTTCACTAAACTTTAAAAAATTTTTTGTAAGACTAACAACTCCTTTTTACTCAAAGATTCTTATCCTCTTGATCCAAATTATCTTCTTCAGGGATTCATTTCTTTCCTATATTGAAACCATAATGTATCTTTTATTCCCATGATGTAGATCATAATCCAACCAGTTAAAATTTCCAGTAAGCGAAGTCTGAGCAAAATGTGTGTTATATTTTTCTACCTATGCCAATGACTAATTCACATTTATGTTCAATTTCTATTGAAGGACTGCAAAATAGGAGTTATTTCTTGAAATGTGATTTCTCCACTTGTTTTTCTAAATTGAATATATAGTTATAAAAATTAGTTTGTTCATTAATATTAGATTTATATTCTAAGAAAATATCCAATAGACTAACATGCATTTATGTTTATTAATGTGCTAAACCAAGTCCCTTACCAACATATTCATTTATTAAATTTGTTTTGAAACTGTCATACTGAGCTCTCTTGCATATTCTTAGTGTTATTGCTCACTTAATTAAAATTAGTGTGACAATTCCTCCCATTGGGAAGCACAAGGAAAGTGAGGAAAGTTTCTTATTATAGTTAAACTGTACTTTGTACCCTTAAGAGGATGCACATTGGGAGGTAACATGATCCATCATCTATGTGTAATCTATCAGTGGATTTCTATTATTCTAAATTAAAAGATGCTTACTCCTTGGAAGGAAAGTTATGACCAACCTAGATAGCATATTAAAAAGCAGAGACATTACTTTGCCAACAAAGGTCCATCTAGTCAAGGCTATGGTTTTTCCAGGAGTCATGTATGGATGTTAGAGTTGGACTGTGAAGAAAGCTGAGTGCCAAAAAATTGATGCTTTTGATGTTGGAGAAGATTCTTGAGAGCCCCTTGGATTGCAAGGAGATCCAACCAGTCCATCCTGAAGGAGATCAGTCCTGGGTGTTCACTGGAAGGACTGATGCTGAAGCTGAAACTCCAATACTTTGGCCACCTCATGAGAAGTGTTGACTCATTGGAAAAGACCCTGATGCTGGGAGGGATTGGGGGCAGGACGAGAAGGGGATGACAGAGGATGAGATGGCTGGATGGCACCACCAACTCAGTGGACATGGGTCTGGGTGGACTCCAGGAGTTGGTGATGGACAGGGAGGCCTGGTGTGTTGCAATTCATGGGGTCGCAAAGACTCAGACATGACTGAGAAACTGAACTGAACTGAAGGATATTTCTGAGTCAAAATATTATTTTTATAATCCTCTCATAAATTTAGGCAAGGACAGAGAGTATAAGATGTTGGACACACTGTGTATTTTAGTAAAATCTCCTCTGGAGATGAAAAGAATAAAACCATGAGGTTTAAAAAAAAAATTCTAATTCTTGAGAAGTACATTTTAATGAGTCAGAAAATGCTTCTTAGTAAATTGGAGTGTTTTTATACTAAGAGTCAAGCCAAACACAATTATCATTCATTTAACATGTGTTTTTGAATGTTGTTTCCATGTGTTTATTTGGTAAGTTCACTTTTGTAAAATAGACATAGTATTGTGACTTTTGTTCACCCCTTGCTGGATTGAGATACTGGGATTACAAAACATCTTTACTATATCATTTTCAGATTTCCTGTACAGACAATTAATGTCACCTCAACTATGACAATGCAGAGTCAATCAAGAGATAACAAAATATGTTTCCAGGAAAAAACTCATTAAAATAGAATGATGATCAGTCTTCCTCTAGGCTATCTAAGTTCTTAAAACATAATCTGAAATTGGTATGACTAAAATTGCCTCTCAGTTTTTTAAAAATGCAATTAACTTTTTTTAGGGGAGGTATTTTATTAAAGTATTTACAAAGACATTGTTATGTTGAACAAAATAATGTCCCTGATAATAACATTTACTATGTTGTTTCTTCATAGAGTTTAATTCCTGGGTTTAATTTGTTTCTTTAAGAGCACTGAGTTCCTTTCTCTCTAGTCACAATGGAGAGCATTGTACTCTATGAGATTCCTTTTAATTTTTTTTTTTTTTCTGGTGTGATTTTCTGAACTACATTCTGTTCTTAAGTACATCCCAAAATCAAAAACAGATAAAAAGCCCTCTTTCTCTCCTTGGTCCTTTCCTGCTAATATCCCATTTTCTTCTACTTCATGGCAAAATTTCACATAAATCAATATTTCTATGGTGTTTTCTATTCTCTCTTTATCCCTTTTGTCTTGGTCCACCTCTTTTTACTGTCTCTGAGAAGTACTCGGGTTCACCAACTTCCCTTTTCATTCCTAAAATACACTCCAACTCTTACTTACACCCTACCACTCACATTTGGTTCAATTGCAGTATACCCAATTGCTCCTTTTCCATATCCTTTCTCTTTTTACTTTTTCAGACTTTTTTCTCAAATGTGAAGGTGCCCAGTTAGCTGTTTGCTCCTCTTATAGTTTCTATTTAAATTCTCTTTGCTTGCATAACTGGAAATGTTACTTTAGCCAATTAATCTCAATTGAAATTTTCAGTTCTGATATATAGTCAAATGATCCCTTGACATCTCCTTTGATTGTTAATGATCATCATAATTTATCAGAATGAAAATGAGTTCCTGATTCCTCATACCCTCAAAACTCCTCTGTTTTTTGCAACATTTAAAAGCATGTAAGACCTAAGTCAGGTTAGACCTCTCCCAATGATTTATCCATTCATGTCTTTCTGCATTAATGTTGCTATGCCATACCAGGCACCACTTAAATTTGAATTTCAAATTATTAAATCTCAGAATATTGAATTTCTCAGGTATTGCAAGGCATATGTATATGTACAAAAAATCATGTATCTGAAAATCAAATGTATCTGGGTCAGTGTCTGTATTTGCTGTATCTGCAAACCCAAACCATAGAAAGCACAGCCTTTATGATCTGCCCTGTTTTAGTCTCAAGTACACCTATGAGTGCACCTTGAAACACTCTTCTCCATACATAAGTCAATAACCTTTCTTCTGTTTAGATGTACCATTTGTTTCCAACTTTGGGTCACTGATCCTCTGCTGCTAAGTCACTTCAGTCGTGACCGACTCTGTGCGACCCCATCCCTGGGATTCTCCAGGCAAGAACACTGGAATGGGTTGCCATTTCCTTCTCCAATGCATAAAAGTGAAAAGTAAAAGTGAAGTTGCTCAGTCATGTCCGACTCTTTGCGACCCCATGGATTGCAGTCTACCAGGCTCCTCCATCCATGGGATTTCCCAGGCAAGAGTACTGGAGTGGGGTGCCATTGCCTTCTCTGCTGACCCTCTGCAGATAATAGCAAAAGGCTAGAATCTTATCTTCAATTGGATCTTTCTAATGGAATTTCCCTGACTGGTTTTTCTAGTAGTCATGTATGTATATGAGAGTTGGACTATAAAGAAAGTTGAGCACTGAAGAATTGATGCTTTTGAACTGTGGTGTTGGAGAAGACTCTTGAGAGTCCCTTGGACTGCAAGGAGATACAACCAGTCCATCCTAAAAGAAATCAGTCCTGAATATTCATTGGAAGGACTGATGCTGAAGCTGAAACTCCAATAGTTTGGCCACCTGATGGGAAGAGCTGACTCATTTGAAAAGACTCTGATGCTGGGAAAGATTGAAGGCAGGAGGAGAAGGGGATGACAGAGGATGAGATGGTTGGATGGCTTCACCAACTCAGTGGACATGAGTTTGAATAAACTCCGGGAGTTGGTGATGGACAGGGAGGCCTGGTGTGCTGCAGTCCATTGGGTCATAGAGTCAAACATGACTGAGAAACTGAACTGAACTGAACTGACCATCTAGTCTGAAATAATCTCTCACCAATAGTCCTTAGATTTACCTTATTCCTTGCCTTGACTTATTCCTTAAATAGGCTTAACCTTATCAGAAATGATCTCATTCACCTAAAGAATTTGCTTTCAGATATCTGCCTATATTTTCTGCTGATGTTCAGTTCAGAGTGTAAGATTCAACACAAAATGGATCTTGTCTGTACTGTTCATTGCACCATCCATTGTGCTCATAACAATCCCTAACATACAATTGATACTCAAGAGCTTTACGTACAAAAGAATCAACAAATTTTCAAATCAATATAATCAGGGACATCTAAAATTTTTGTTGCTTTTCTATTTTGAAATAATTTTAATTATCAAAAGTAGAAAAAAAAAAATACCCTTTACCCAGTTATACCTATGCTAATATCTTTAATAACCAAGTACAAAATTAGGAAATTAACCTGGTACAATATTCTTAAGTAATCTACACATTTTACTTGAATTCCACATTTTTACCATTAATGTCCTTTTTCTGCTCCAGGATCCAGTCCAAGTTCCTACATGGCTTTTGGTTGTCTTATCTCTTTAGTCTCCTCCAATTGGTGAGAGCTTTTCAATCTTTCTTTTGTAACACTGACAGATTCAAAGAGCCAAACGTTTTGTAGTTTATTCCTAAATTTGAGTTTGTCTGTTTTCTCATAACAAAGTTGAAGTAATATGTTTTAGCCAAGATATCAGAAGAGATTGGGTATTACATTGGGTCATAGGAGGAGTAAAATTTTAAAAGTCTCTGGAATAGATTTTTGATCTCAAAGTAGTGATAGACTGAG